AGTTTTCCCCATGATGAGACTGGTAATCAACTCCATGGTGGAATCTACTGTGAGCAGCTGTGTACCTGCCTTAGGGATGTGGTCTGCTTCTCGTATATAAGTAGAAGCCTTGGGGATAGTCTGTAGCTTATGACACGTTTGGACCCTGCATGTAGCTGTGTCATTGTTCAGCAGCCTGCCATGCTCTGCCGACCTTGGGACTTCAAATGGACTTAAATTAATGGTCTGCCGTGTGGTTTGGTAACATTAGGACTGTGCCTTTTTATTTGTCGACCTTGGCTTGTTAGCCTCAGCTTCCTGAGTGAAGAAATGCCTCTAGCTCCAGTGGGCCAGGAGCAGGAGGCAGAGCTGGACCCCAAAGTTGAGGGGCTTTCACCCACCCCCTAGAGCCTGGCACTTTGAACTTGGACTTAAAGCCTCCAAACTGTAAGAGAATAAACTTCTGTTTGTTAAGACTATCCCATTTGTGGTATGTTCTTGTCAGAGTGGCACTAGGGAACCAGAACAGTGGGCCACAAGCACTTTACTTGCATAGTCCCACCTAAGCTTTTGGTGGGAGTATTATAGGACTGTGGCTGAAACTATGGCTATTAAGCAATTCACTGCACCTCTATGGCACAGCAAGCAGGATGAACATAAAAATATTTGACTTATTTACCCCTACCCATAAGTCTCATGAAGGCAATCGGATGGACCTAGATGGAGGTCTGAACACACAGGAGGTTGTGTTACAGGAGAGGAACCCTGAGCTTGGGGAATACAAATATTTTATTGTTGTTGTTGTTGGGTGCCCTCAAGTTGGTTCTGACTCCTAGCAACCCCACATACCACGGAGCAACACACTGCCTGGTCCTGCGCCATCACCACAGTCATCGCTGTGTTTGACCCATTGTCACAGCCACCGTGTGCAACCATCTCACTGAGGGTCTTCCTCTTGTTCACTGACCCTCTACTTTACCCAGCATGATGTCCTTCTCCAGGGAATGCTCCCTCCCGACAATGTGACCTAAGTGTGGTAGATCAAGTGCAGTGTAGTAAATTACTTAGTGTGGCTTTTCTACCCATAAGTCTTTGTAAATTCCAAGGTGGGAATTGCTATTAGCAACCGAGGAGATCCTGATTTTAAAGTCGCCCACCTGGGTTATTTCTGTTGGGAGTGGCACAATACAATGTTCTGGGAGGTTCCCACTCTCTCTCCTGTGCTTAGAGTTCTGATGCTGTGATTGGCTAGTTTGACCACCCTGCTGGGCTCAAAAGGAGGCCTCCTGGAGGCAGAACTCTCTCTGACTGCTGGTTGAGGAAGACGTGCTGCCGAAAGAGACACGTGCCCCTAAAAGAGACATGCGTTGCTGGGAAAGAGACCCAAGAGACACGCATTGCTGAGTGAGACACCGAGGGACCAGTGCTGCTGGGAAAGAGACTGTGAGAAACTGTTGGCTGAGGGACAGTGGGCTGGGAGAGAGACTGAGCATTTTTCCTGAATCTGAATTGTAGCCTGGTGCTCCCCTAATAAACCCCATAATCTGTGAGTTCTGTGTGGCCACTGTAGCGAATTATCGAACCCAGGAGAGAGGTGGTGGGTGCTTTGGGAGGAACGGTTGGTGAAAGGGCTGGAGGGGGCAGCATGTCTGGCCTTGCAGTAATAGGCCTTGGTTTACTGCTGGTAATCCTGCCTTCCCCTTGTAGGGTTAGAGGAGGTCAAAACATGTGGCCTCCTTGCCGTTTTTGCATCAAGCCTCATCATCCTTGCTTCAAAGAAGTATTCTTCCAAGTATTCTTCCAAGACAGATTGGTTTGTTCTTCCAGCAATCCACAGTATATTTAATAATCTTCACCAACACCATCATTCAAACACATCAATTCTTCCTTGGTCTTCCTTTAGTAAGTATATCTGCAATTTGCCTTAGACAGAGACACTTGCTCTATTCTCCAAAACTGTTCACTATACAAACATCTTTGGAAAGATAGTCCTGAACAATGGTGGTGGTGTTATGTTCCCTTGAGTTGGACCCGACTCATAGCAACCCCTCCTTGGGTCTCTGAGGCAGCATCACTACAGAAGTAGATTGTCCCACCTTCTTTCTGAGGAGTGGCTGGTGGGTTTGAATTGCTAACCTTCTGGTTAGCAGTCAAGTACCTTAGGCACTACACCACCAGAGCTCCTGGAACAATGGTAGTAGCGTCTGTGTGTTAGCTGAAACACAAGAGATTCATGGAGAATTGTCTCCCAATAGTCTGCTTCTCACGTCTCATCATTAAATCCTCTCAGCAACTCAGCCAAGTCGATATAACTGGCCCTGTCTTACATAAGAGGAATTGAAGTATAGAGAGAATTACTCCCAGTGACACAGCCCATGAGTAGCAGATCTGGGACTAAACCTAGGCCTGCCTTACTGCAAGCTTGTGCTGGCCACCCTCCCATGGAACTTGAGGCAGGGAGGAGGCCTGAAAGGAGATGGGTGGCGGGAATCCCATCTGAGTCGTGGCAAAGGAGAAGTGCATGGAGAGTGGGCGAAAATGAGGAGGGCTAAGGGAACTTGAGGGCCCTGGAAAGGACTTTGGATTTTTGTCTAAGAGTGATGGCGGATGCCAGTGTTTTGAGCAGAAGTGATATGACCTGAATTCCATTTTAAAAGAACTACTCAGCAATTACTTTGAAATAGTTTACCCTGTGAAAGAGGGCTAACAGTAGTACCTACCTCATAAAGCTGGTGTGAGAATGAAATGAAAAGAATGAAGAGGAAGAATGCATGTCAGGGTCTTAGCTGGTGCAGAGTAGGCTGTGGCGTGGGTATTGCTGTGACAATGACACAGAGGGTGGCACTGAGGAATTCAGGATGGGCCTGGGAGCTGGGGACAGGTATGACGTGGAGGGTCTGCATGTACAGACTAGAGGCCAAGAACTGGTTCAGGGACATTTCCTCTGGCCAGTCAGGGCTCGGGCCCTGAGCCAGGGACAGCGCTGCCCAAGAGCCCGCTGGGTAGATGGAGAGAGTGAAGGGGGGCACAGGCAGGTAAGCAGGAGGCAGAACCAAGCCCACTGCCTTCGAGTCATTCGGATTCATAGTGATCCTCATTGGGTTTCCAAGGTTGTACAACTTTTTTTTTTTATTATTATTGTGATTTGGGTGAAAGTTTATGGAGCAAATTAACTTTCCATACAGCAGTCCATACACATTTTGTTTCATGACATTGACTACAATTTCCCACAATGCAATAGCTCTCTTTCCACTTCCTCCTAGTAGTTACCTCTTCCCTGCCTCCTTCCTTTCCATGGACCCCCCACACACACTGCACACTGTCTCCCTGTGCAAACACTGCCCTTCTGTTCTCCCACAAGTGATGGCTCCAAGGAGTATATCTACCCGATGTAAATGTTCCCCCCACGTGCCTGTCTATTTGGCTGGAAGCCACAGGCCAAGGCTATCAGTATTTATGGAAGTAGATGGTCTCATCTTCCTCTTCTGCAGCAGCTGGTAGTTTGAACCACTGACCTTCTGGTTAGCTGCCACATCCCTTACCCACCACGCCATAGCAAGGATCAAAAAAAAAAACAAGTCCAGGGAGCCTACAAAGGAGGAAAATGGGGTCAGGAGGAGGGCACTTCAAGTAAGATTGAGAAAGCACCACTGTCCAGACAAAGGAAGAGCTTGGCCAATGAGATCACCGGGGCCTAACTCCTGGCTCTTATCCCCATGGTCCTTGTGGACAGGCTGCACATCTGGAGACCTCTGCCTGCTCACTCTGGCTTTTTCAAACCTAATAAAGCAGATGCTTTTGAACTGTGGTGTTGTTGGTGAAGAATACTGAAAGTACCATGGTCTGCCAGAACTAACAAATCTGTCCTGGAAGAAGTGCAGCCTGAATGCTCCTTGAAAGTGAGAACCACCGACTTTGTCTCACCTACTTTGGTCATGCTGTCAGAAGGGACCATTCTCTGGAGGATATGTGCTTGGTAAAGTGAAAGGTCAACGACAAAGGGGAAGGCCCTGAACGAAATGGATTGACAGAGGCTGCAACGACGGGCTCAGGTATAGCAAAGATTGTGAGGCTGGCACAGGACCGGGCAGTGTTTCCTTCTGTCGTACACAGGGGTCGCTATGAGTCGGAGAGGACCCCACAGCACTTAACAACAATAGGCCAGAGGATGTGTATGGAAAAAGAACACAGACTATGGAAACGAATCACCAAGATCAACATAATTTCTAATTTGCAACCACCCCCCAGCTTGCATCAGCTGCAAGCCGGAACTTCCCAAGCTTTTTGAGGATGTAAAACCGCAAACGGTTTGGGGGCAGACTTATGCATCAGTTCCAAACCTTCTGGGGGATGGAGGGGGCGCAGAGGCCGACTAGAACACCTAACATGCAGAAAGGGGGATACCTTGAAACAGGCTCAGGACAGAAAGTGAGACTGATGTCTGCCTGGCCGGGCTGAAGTAAGAGGCTCTGAGACTGCACGCGCGCAGAAGCCGCCGTTCGCTACTATTATGGTGGTGGCGGTTGTTACAAGAGCCGTGCTGTTGAAAAGTCTGGAGTCCGACCCCTAGCAGCTCCCGGGAGAAAGATGTGGCAGCCTGCTTCCGGAAAGATTACAGTGTTGGAAACCCTATCAGACAGTTCCACTCTATCCTATTCTAAGGGAAACTTCAGCGGAGGCGGAGGCCAGCAGGTTTACCCAAGCCTAGTAGTTTCCTCCATCCGCGGCGGGCAGGGAGGGCGACCCTGCGAGGCCACATCTAGGTCCTGCAATCGAGCGGAGACGCCTTTCCCGAGGCACAGACAGTCGAAAGTCTCCGCCCACTGGGAATCCAGCTCCACGGGGCTCACCCACAGGGCAGGGTCCAGTTTGGGACCAGACACGCCCCACTGTGGGCAATTCGAGGTCTAAGACCGCCTCTGTAAATTTATTTCCGCCCTCATCCCGGGCCTCAATACGGAAAGGGTGGAGCCATAGCAATGGCGCTCTGCTTGTGCGTCATTTCCGGTGAGCCGGGCGGAGACAACGGCAACATGGCCCTGAACGGTGCTGGTGAGGACTTGGCCTGCGGGGGCCTGTGGCTGCGGGGTACAGGAAGCACCTCGCTCCGGCAAGAACCCCCGGTCCCTTGTGCCTCTTTTCCCCCAGAGGTTGACGATTTCTCTTGGGAGCCTCCGACTGAAGCGGAGACGAAGGTCCTGCAGGCGCGGCGAGAACGGCAGGATCGCATCTCCCGACTCATGGGCGACTATCTGCTGCGCGGTTACCGCATGCTGGGCGAGACGTGCTCGGACTGCGGGGTGAGGCGGGGCCCTGGACGGGAGGGTCGGTGATGGAGTCGCGGACCAGGTCGCACCCCGCCTCCGCAGCTCTCCTCCAGGTCCCATCGCTCGGGGTCTCACGCCTGCCCCGTGTGTTCTCTGGCCCCTAGACGATCCTCCTCCAAGACAAACAGCGGAAAATCTACTGCGTGGCTTGTCAGGAGCTCGACTCAGACGTGGATAAAGATAATCCGGGTGAGGGGTCAGGTGCGCTTGGTGATGGAGGTCCAGAGATTGTAGGCCTGGGAGTGACAGAGCAGGCTGTGGGTGGGGCGAGGTTAAGACGCTTTCAGTATCCGGTAAGAGCACTAAGCAACTCCTTTGTGCCAGGCACTGTGGGAGTCTGCGCTTAATCGGGCACAGTCCTGATGGGGGACAGGAAGCATAACTGTTACAAAAAGGAGAGTGGATGAGTTGCCTTAATAGAGAGGCAGAGAACACACCTTAGGGACCGAAAGAAAGGGACAGTCAGCATAGAAGAGGTGGCTCAGGGCCAAGGTGGGCCAGTGCCCCTGACCATCCCACCCACTTTCTTCTCTTTTAGCTCTGAATCCCCAGGCTGCCCTGTCTCAGGCTCGGGAGCATCAGCTGGCCTCTGCCTCGGAGCCCCCCTCGGGCTCCCGGCCCGCCCCTCAGCCCCCAGTACCCCGCCCAGAGCACTGTGAGGGAGCTGCAGCAGGGCTCAAAGCTGCCCAGGGGCCACCCCCTCCTGCAGCGCCCCCAAATGCAGACATCTTGGCCTGCACACAGACGGCCCTCCTGCAGAAGCTGACCTGGGCCTCAGCTGAGCTGGGCTCCAGCACCTCCCTGGAGACCAGCATCCAGCTGTGCAGCCTGATCCGGGCTTGTGCTGAGGCTCTGCAAAGCCTGCAGCGGCTGCAGCACTGAAAGAAACCCCTGAGAAAAACCTCTAGCCAAACAGCTGCTCCTGTGTGGTTTGTTGTTTCGGTTTTTATGTGCATGCTGGCTTCCATTGCCTTTTTCCTCCTTCTGGCCTCATCCTCTTCCATTGTGTGCTTTTCTTGACGCCCTGAGTTGGGCTAAACTAGTTTCTGCTCAGATTTCCCAGTCAGAGGATGAGGTGACAGTGAGGGTATTAAATGTGATACCCCTTTTCTGAAGAGGGGGGTCACAACCTAAGCTGTCCTCAAAGGACAAGTCCGGTGGACCACCACCCTTGACTCTGGCAGTAGCCCTGGCCCCATAACCGCTTCAGCCATCTGGAGTTCATTCCCACACATGGGCTAGGTTCTGGATTCCAGCCCTCTTGGTAGGCCCCCTCTTTTCCCTGAGCACCTTAATGCCGTTATCCTATTCCACTTCACGCCCATCCTCAAGTATTCAGACACTGGGAGGAGGTTGTAAAGGCTTCAGCATCAGGTTGCCCGTTAGGGCTGAGTTCCACCAGGGGATGGGTAAGTGTGGGAGGATGGGTAAGTGTGGGAGAGGAGCAGGAAGGATTATAAAGAACTGCGCCCTCTGCTTTTGGTTCTTTTTTTCCACCCTTTTCGGATTCCGCTTACTTCTGTAGGTGTCCCCCTGACCCCGAATCCAGCTTTGCGCGACGTGGTCCCACAGCCATTGCCCTTTTAATAGTGGCCCCGCCCCCGCGGTTGGGGCGAGGCAGGGGGGCGGAGTCGGAGGTGCTGGTGAAGGAACAAAGCGCGGCCTGCGGGCGGCGGCGGGGCTTGGCTGGCGGGGCCGTGCGGTCCGGGGCTGCGGGCGGCTGTGCCGGCGGGGCGTTGGAGGGTAGAAGGCGGCACCGCTGCCCGCGCCGGCCCCGGCCATGAACGGGCTGCCCTCGGCCGAGGCACCGGGCGGTGCGGGCTGCTCCCTGGCCGGGCTCCCGCCGCTGCCGCGCGGCCTCAGCGGCCTCCTCAACGCGAGCGGGGGCTCGTGGCGGGAGTTGGAGCGCGTCTACAGCCAGCGCAGTCGCATCCATGACGAACTGAGCCGCGCCGCCCGCGCTCCGGACGGGCCTCGCCACGCCGCCGGTGCTGCCAGCGCGGGCCCCGCCGCCGGCCCCTCTGGCCCGCGCCGCCCGGTCAACCTTGACTCTGCGCTAGCGGCGCTGCGCAAGGAAATGGTGAGTGGGTGGGAGCTGGACCCTAGGGACGTGCGACCGGAACCGGCCGCCTTGGTCTCGGAGGACCTGCAGACACTAGCCGGGTCAGGGAGCGTGTGGAGCAGTAGTTAGTGATAGTCACTGTTCACGGCAGTAGTGAGCGTTTAGTTAAAGGCTAATTTCCTCCAGTTACCTCGTTTGGCCCTGCTAAGTGTACATCCCGTTTTACCTAAAAGTTTCCCATCTTGCTGGTGGGGTCCGATAGCCACGAAAACTTGTGCTTAGGTGGGAAGATTGGCTTAGCGCCCCGACCTGGTCCAAGGGCTCTGGATTCCGGGAGGACGGGGCTGGGGGTGGCCTAGACCCCAACCCCAGCCCACCCTTAGTTGTCTGCAGGTGGGGCTGCGACAACTGGACATGTCCCTGCTGTGCCAGCTGTGGGGCCTGTATGAGTCGATCCAGGACTACAAGCATCTGTGCCAGGACCTGTCATCCTCCCTGCACTCGGACAGCTCCTACCCACCGGACGCCAGCCTGTCGGATGACGATGAGCCTCCGGAAGCCAGCCTGCCCCCTGACCCGCCACCCCTCACGGTGCCCCAGACGCACAATGCCCGTGACCAGTGGCTGCAGGATGCCTTCCACATCAATCTCTGAAGAGCCAGGGGGCAGGTGGGCATGTGCCTATGCAAAAGGTTATGCCACTCATCCGTTGGCACTTAGACTGCAGTTTCCTGCTCTTCTCCCATGCCATCTCAGCTCACCGGAGGTCAAGCCTGCACCCCTCAGAGCCAAAACTGTCAAAGCCCCTTTGGGCTTGGGTTAGCTGGCCCTGGGGCAGGCGCGGGGGCTGCAGCCTCTGCCCACGGCATATGTGTGCACCCCCAGTTTGCCCAACCCTCAGCCTGGCGGCAGGGCTCAAAGCACCTCGCCCTCCCCTTGGCATCTCTGGGCCTGGAATGAGAGTGCCTGGCTCCCACCTCCTTTTTACTGTTTGCTGCTGTTGGCAGCTGCTGGCTCAGGGGATCCTACCTCTGATCCCTGGGTTCTGTTGCCCAGGACAGGGGCTCCAGAACCCCTCCCTGCACCCTCGTGGCCTGGAGGGCCAAGGCTCCATGCTGGATGTCTAAGTTTAGGGGCTAGGCTCCCGGTGCGTCCATAAATAAATATTCTCAGCATTGTGGTGTTCTGATGGCCTGGCTCTGGGGCGAGAATCCAGCGATGTTTCTGGCAGATGCGGCCCCAAGGTCCGCCGGCAGGTGGCGCCCGAGATCCCAAGGAAAGGGCTGGGCGGGGCCGGGGTGAGAAGCCCGCCTCCGGTGCGGGGAGCGTCGGAGCGAGCAGAACCTGGCTCGGCCCCTGGCCGCCGAGTGACTGCGGGCCAGTCATTTCCCCTCGCAGGCTGGCGGTCTCCGAGGCCGCGCTCTGCTCCTCGCTCCCCCCGCCGTCCCCTGCGCTTTGGGCTTTCCCTGCCGGCCGGGAAGGAAGGGGAGGGAGCCGCCCATCTTGAGGAGAGAAACTTTCCACCCGAGCGGGGCGGGGTAGAGGCGGCACAGGAAATGGGTGGGCCGCAGCTGGCGGCCAAGGGGCCCCTCGGGTGGAGGGAGGAAGGCGCAGCCAGGAAGGGCCTGGGAGCCGAGCCCCGTGGGTGGGAGGGAAGCACTGGAGAGGCAAGAGGAGGGAGGACGCCGGGCCCCGGGCTTCCCTAGGACCCAGGGCTTCTGAGCTTGAAGCTCGTGGTGGCAGGGGGTTGTGTGTGTATGTGAGACTGGGACCCCAGACGCTCACTGCACTTAGTCTCAAAGTGCGTGCCACAGCATCAAGGCCCCTTAGTGCTGCCTGTAAAAGACTTCCCATTAACCCAGGAAACCCAGGGCCACGTCGCTGGAACTGGGATCCAGGACCCCGGTGCCAGGCCCAACCTGAAGAAGCCTGCATTTTTGGCGACAGTGAGTGCTCAGATCCCCACGTACACAGCACCCCAGCACGTCCTGAAACGAGGACAGGCCTGCGCAGTCGCACACTCGGGCTTCTTGGCAGCTCACCCCGACACTGCTGCAGTCCCTTGACCCGGGAGACGCCACCCAGCTGGCCCTCTCGGCGGGTCAGACGCCTGTTTAAACCGAGTGTTGATTAAGCACCGGCGTGGGTCCATTCCTCAACCCTGCAGAGCAGAGGGGCAAATTGACCTAGTGCCCCGGGGCAGTAAGCTGGGGCTGACACCTGAGAGCTCATTAGTCTGCGGGGCTGCGATAAGGGCTCTAATCTAGGTGTCAACGGATGGCCGGCTAACAGCCCGGGGCAGGCTTCCCAGGGGAGGGAGCGCAAACAAACACACGCGAACACCCTTCCCGGTCTTTGGTAACAGATTCCGTTTATTGCCGTCCTCTCAAAATCAGGCTCCCGCCTTAAATGCTTCCCAAGGTTGATCCATTCCGACTCCACAAAAGGCGAACAGTATAATTGTCCCCTCAACAGCAATACAAACTGAGGCTCAGAGCGTTAGTGCTTCGTCCACACACACACTCCGTTGGTGGCCATGATGTGAACCCCCACCTGCTTGTGGCAGGTTGAGACTGTCTTCCCACCGGAAGATGGGTGCTGCCCACAGGTAGGGAGGGCCACCCAGGTCCCTGACCGCCGATCCTTCCTGCTCTGGCTAAGACGCGGGGGGCAGCAGGAGTCTGACCCCAGAGCCCCGGGCAGTTGGCCCTGGCGCAGACTTGCTTTGTGACCCTGGGCAAGTCCCTTACCCTTTCTGGGTCTCTGCTCCCCCAGCCTTGAAATGGGGCCACCCTGCTGGGCAGCGGCAGGAAGGGAGGCGGCCGGGTAGCGCTCCGAGGGCGGCACCAAGTGGCCGGTTGCCTGCCCTGGGCCCGCGCGCCCCTGCCCGCTGGCGCGTCCTCACCGCCTGGGCGCCCCACCATGGTCGGGGCGCGAGGCCCCGGAAGCCGCGGCGCCCCGCCTCCGCTCGCCGGCCCCCGCCCCGCCGGAGCCCCGCCCGCCTTCCGTCGGGGGTGCGGCTCCAGGAAGCGGCGCGCTCGCCGCTGTGCGCTCTCGCGACCCGACCCGCCTCGCAGGACCCCGCCGACTCGGCCGACCACCCGGCGACCCCGGGTCCGGGTCACGGACATCTCACGGACGGGGCCGGCGGCTCGGAGAGGAGCCCCGGAGGCCATGGGGACCCGGGCCGGGCCAGTGGTCGAGGGCCAGTGGAAGCCCCGAGCCTGAGGAGCGGACGGCAGGGACCATGACCTCGGTGTGGAAGCGCCTGCAGCGCGTGGGCAAACGGGCCGCTAAGTTCCAGTTTGTGGCCTGTTACCACGAGCTGGTGGTGGAGTGTACTAAGAAATGGTGAGTAGGGGAGACCTAGGGGACACTCAGGGCTGGGACCCCATCCAGGGACCCAGAGAATCCGGCGCCCAGCCAATGGCCAGAGGGGGCCCCGCCCCAGTGTGGGGCCCTGGTGTCCCAAGTGCCAATTTAAAATGCCCCTGCAACTTGCGGGACCCCCTGGAATTGGGGGGTGCAGGCAGCTGTGGGGAAGTGAGGCCTGAGAATTCCATGTGGGCCCAACTCTCCTCCACTGCGTTTAGGGCTTGGGGCAGGGAGGCCACATGCCTCCAGCCAGCAAGCAAGATGGTTCAGGGTGGCATCAGAAAGGGGAGCAGGTCTGCAGGTGGCTGGGCTGGGACAGGACCCTCCATGGACCTTCGTCCACTGGGAACAAGCAGGTCGTCCCCTTCTCCTCTGCTCACTTGTTGAGCCAGAGGGCTGCCCCCCCCCTTCAGCCAGACAGGGCCCTGGGAGGCTGGAAACCTCTTGAAAATGTCCTTAAAAGGGGAAACTGAGTGTGAGAGGGACGAGGAGGGAGGCGGGAGCTGGCTTAAAGGGGCCGAGGGCCTGGGAGATTGTAGGTCCCGGAGAAGAGGTCCTGGGGAAGGAAGGGTGGTGGGCTGGGGGGCAGCTATGTGAGGGGGTGCAGGCCCGGCCTAGACTGCGAAGGGCCCATTCACATGCCCCCACCGCAGCTGCCACCCCTGCGTCACACCCTAAATATATGTGCTTGCTGGTGTCAGCTTCCCTTGGCGGGATTAGGGCACAGCTGTGGGGGCCTCATCCGCCAGGCGGGGCTAAATTTAGGCTCCTGAGGGGAAGGGCCAGGGCAGGAAGAGAACTCAGGGGCCAAGGAGGAGAAAGTGAGCAGGAGGTCCCTTGGGCAACTGCCACATCCCTGGTCTTGCCCATGCTGTTCTTGGAAGAGGCCCAGAGAGGTCAGAGCTGGCTGGAGTCACACAGTGCAGGGCCGGGACTTGAACCCTGGCCTCTGGCTTCTGCCCCAGCATCCAGGGTGATGCTAGGGAGACTGCTCTGGGAGAGCAGGCTGAGGGTACAGGCAATGTCAACGCGTCTGAGTCACCAGTGATGGGCAGGGCCTCCTGGGCTTCTCAGCTGGGAGCCCAGGCCAGGAAGCTGCCCCTGCCCAGGTTGCAGCTTTCCACGAGGGTGTGCCCAGCCTGAGTCAGGCTGCCCAGCCAGGCTCCGCCCTCCCCTAGGCACCTCCTGGTCACTTCCCCTTTCTGGGAAGGCCCCATGGCTACCCTTGCTGGGCTATCGCCTGCAGTTTGGGGTTGGAGAGGGGAGCCTGGCTCCAGGCCAGAAGGCTCCAGGCCAGGCCCCCAGCCTCTGAGCATCCTCGGGGGCTCAGCTTCCAGGGGGCAATGAGCGGGCAACCCCAGCATCCTGGCATGGGGCTGGAACATACCAGGAGAGGCCTATGCTGCCCTATTCCTGGGCATCAGTTGGAGCCTCTGAACTCTAACCTGGTCAGGCCACGTGTCGGCTCCATGGCCTTGGCCTTGTCCGCTGGCTTGTTCCTCTGCCTTTCCGTCCATTTCCTCGTGTCTCTCTGCCTCTCCTCTGAGTGCACCTGGCATACGCTGTCCAGTTTAGATGTCAGCTCTTAGAAGGCTTCTCTGATCCCAGGGGGTCAGTGGCCCTGGGCTCTGCTGTCATCATCTCCCAGGAAAGCACCAACCTGGGCTCTGGGTTCAGGAGGCTGCAGTAGGGGCAGTTGTGGGATGACAGGCTGTCCTGCTACCTCTCCCCCAACCCCGTCCCTTGCACTCGTAGTCCCTCGGTCTGAAGTCCTCGTCCCCAGATCCTCACAGGCCCATGACTCCCCGATGCATGCCGTCATGTGTGTTCGGAGAGGCCGCAGCCCCAGACCGCACCCAGCCCCAAGGAGACTCCAGCAGTTCTCTGGGCACCAGCTCTGTGACTGCCCTAATGCTTATTACTGCTCAGAGAAGGGAACTTGCTAACTGATGATCCTTCTCACTGGCACCCTTCCCCCACCGCCAGCCCGAAGCCCTGGGAGGGAGTCCCCACCCCCAGGGTCCTCCTCTCTGCTGTGCTGTGTTGTCACCAGACCTGGGCTGGGTTGAGTGGGCACTTCACAGATACGTTTGACTGACAGATTTCTTTCTGTGAGTCTGTCCCTGGGTCTGTGTGTCTGTCTCCTGCTGGCTTTTTGCTATGTTTCCATCTCCTTCTCTGTGTAATTATCGGGGCCCACGCTGTTGAGGCCTTTGCCCTTCTGCCCCGGGCTCCACCCCAACTTGGCAGCCCCACCCTCCACCCTGTGGCCCTAGATAAGGGTCTCCCTAAGTAGTCCCATGGGGGAGGGGGACCCGGGCAGAAGGAAGACCCCAAGGGAGTTAGGGGAGGGGGAGGAGGAGCAGGGAGGCTGGGGTCTGACTGAACGCCCCCTCCCTGCCCCCTCCCCAGGCAGCCGGACAAGCTGGTGGTGGTGTGGACCCGAAGGAACCGCCGCATGTGCTCCAAGGTGGGAGGACGTGAGCTGGGCTTTGGGTCAGGTGTGGGGCTGGCAGGGAAGGCAGGTGAGGGCTGCAGGGGGGAGTGGGTCAGATCAGAATCCAAGGAGGGGAGAGGGAGATGGGGTCAGGGCAGGGGATAAGGGCACGGGGTAGGGGCGTGAGCAGGGAGCTCAGCCTGTCCATTGTAGGCCCACAGCTGGCAGCCGGGCATCCAGAACCCGTACCGGGGCACTGTGGTATGGATGGTGCCTGAAAACGTGGACATCGCAGTGACCCTCTACAGGGTGAGCCCCGGCCTGCAGCACAGATGAGGATGGGCAGGGTTTGCAGTCCCCCCCGGCCACGGGGTCTCCTGGTAGAGTAGCCGTCAGGATAGAACAGAGGGTGAGACCAAGCATCTCGGGGCGGGGGAGGGGTGCTACTCAGTAGGAGTGGCTGGGGGTTCTCCTGAGAGGAGGTAACATTTAATAGACGGGACAGCTGGGGTCAGGAGGGGCTGGGAACACCCCTGGAAGCAGGAACACCATGGGTGCACGCCCAACCACGCCCCACCGAGCCAAGGGAAGTCTCCTCTCTGCACTGTCCAGGACCCCCATGTGGACCAGTACGAGGCCAAAGAGTGGACGTTTGTCATTGAGAATGTGAGTGGCCGGGTGGCCTGGGGTAGACGGGGCTCTGCTGGAGCAGTCCGGACACGCCTCGCCCACCCTTCCTCCTGGTCCACAGGAGTGCAAAGGACAGCGGAAGATACTGGCCTCGGCCGAGGTGGACCTGGCCCGCCACGCGGGGCCCGTGCCCACCCAGGTTCCCCTGCGGCTGCGGCTGAAGCCCAAGTCGGTGAAGGTGGTGCATGCTGAGCTGAGCCTCACCCTCTCGGGGGTGCTGCTGCGGGAGGGCCGCGCCACGTGAGTGCCGCCCTGCCCGCCCTCGGCCCTGTGCCCGCGACCTCTGACCGCGGCCCTCACCCCTGACCTCTGACTCTCAGGGACGATGACATGCAGAGTCTGGCAAGCCTCATGAGTGTGAAGCCCAGTGACGTGGGCAACTTGGAAGACTTTGCTGAGAGTGACGAGGAGGCTAACGGCCCGGGCGTCCCTGAGGCCCGGGCCCAGGTCTCCCATCCAGGTGAGCCAGGAGCCCACCGTAGACCACGGCGTGGGGTGGGGTGGGGGGAGAGGCGCTGTCCTAGGCCACATGCCACATGCTGTGTTGGGCGGGGCCAGCACAAACACGCCCAATCAGCCCAGCACTCTGTCCAAACCTGGCCCTTTGTCCTGTGGGGGCCTGGGTCCTTAGTGGAGTCCTGGGGGCCCCTGGCCTCCACTTCCGCCCTCATTCCCAGCTCTCTGCGGGTGGGTGGCTGGCTTCCATATCCCTCCCTTCAGCTTGTTAAGGCCTTTTCCTCTCTGCCATACGCTTCTCTTTCTTTTTCTCCTGTGGGCCTGTTTCTTTTCATAGGCCGGGGCGGTGCCCTGAGGCCCAGGTGTTTCCCAGGTAGGTCCAGCGTCTGGGGGAAGGGGGGCAAACTGGCAGGGCCCTGCCCCTCGCTGACTCTGCCCCATTGCCCCCCATCCCAGATACCTCTCGGGAGCTGAAAACACATCATGAGGAAGAAGAGGGGAACCAGGTCCAGCCTCAGCAGCCAGGTGAGGGCCAGGCTGGGAGGGGTCCAGGGTGGGCCTCGGTCATGGGACCCCGGCCTCAGCACCCCCTCTTTCTTCCTTCCCAGCTGTCAGCCCCCCTAATGCTGAGGATACCAGCCCAGCCCCTGTGAGTGTCCCTGCGCCCCCTGCCAGGGCCTCCCGGGACCAGGGCTCAGAGGCAGCTGTAACAGGGGGCCGGGGGGGGCCTGAAGCCCCCAGGCCCCCAGGAACCCCACTGGAGACGTGGTGAGCATGGGGATTGGCTTCACCCTTGTACCCTATCAGTTGCTCACTGTTAGGAAGCCACACCCCACCCCTGCCTCTCCAGAGCCCTGCAGTCTGAGGGGTGGGGGGTGAAGCTGACACTGAGGGCCCAGTGAGTTCCCCAACACCCCATCCTGCTCTCTCCTCAGGTCCTCAAGTCAGCCAGGCCAGGATGCGGCCCCCACCCCAGCCCCCCGGTTCCGGAAAAGCCCCGATGCCCCCCAGGCCCCAGTCCCCCAGGGAGACGATAAGGCCCTCGAAGCCTCAGAGGCTTCCCCGGCAGGAGTGGGTTGTGCTGGGGAGACCCAGGCCCGAGCAAGGCCTCAGGAAGGGCCGGAGGCCCAGGGAGCCAGGCTGGGCCCGAGCATTGGTGATGGAGTCTCCATAGACTCTTCAGGGGAGCAGAACCCCAAAGCTAAGGAGGAGGACACTGGGGAGAGGCCAGAGGCCAGTGGGGTGCAGACCGAGCGCAAGTCGGGAGTTGGAGAGGTTCTCACAAGGCAGCCAGGGGTGGGAGCTGGGGAGACCGCAGCGAGCTCACACATCAGTCAAGCTGGTGCTGAGCACAGGTCCCCGGTGAACCATACGGACACTAAGGGACCAGAGGCCGCTGGGACGAAGGCCGAGGCAAGATTCAGGGCACCTCCTGAGGCTCCTCCAAGGGGATCTCAGGGGAGGCTGGGGGTCAGGACCAGGGATGAGGCGCCTACAGGCCTGAGCTCACCTCCAGCAGAACCTGCAGGGCACCCCAGGCATCACGTTGACCTCCAGGAGGTCAGGGCTGCTGCAGGCTCGGAGGGAGAGGGTGCAGAGGTGAGCAGTGGAGCCCCTAGTGTTGGGGGGACAGGCCTGGAACAGGACCCTTCTGTTGGAGCCGCAAGCACCAGGCCCCAGGTGAGCAGGAGCCAGTGGGCCCCACCAGCCGCTGACCAGGGGGTGGTGTCTAGGGCTGTGGGGGTCTGGGAGACAGAAGCTGGGGATTCGAGGGTCCTGGGGTCAGAAGCTGCTGGGACAGCAGAGTTGGAGCTATTGGGGACCCAGAAGACAGAGGGAGTGAGTTCAGGGGTCCTGGGGTCAGAGGCTGCTGGGACAGCAGAGTTGGAGCTATTGGGGACCCAGAAGACAGAGGGAGTGAGTTCAGGGGTCCTGGGGTCAGAGGCTGCTGGGACGGCAGAGGTAGAGGTATTGGGGACCCAGGAGACAGCAGCAGGAGTTTTAGAAGCTCTGAGGACGGAGGCTAGGACAGCAGAGTCTGAGATATTGGGGACCCAGGAGCTATCTGGAGGTTCAGGAGTACTGAGAATAGAAGCTGAGGTAGTACAGTCTGAGGTATTGGGGTACCAGGAGACAGAGATGGGGGCTTCAAGGGAACAGGGGACAGAGGCTGGAAGCACAGAGGCTGAAGTATTGGGGTCCCAGGAGACAGAGGTGGGGGCTTCAGGGGAACAGGGGACAGAGGCTGGAAGTACAGAAGCTGAGGTATTGGGGTCCCAGGAGGCAGAGGTGCGAGCTTCAAGGGTACAGGGGACAGAGGCTGGAAGCACAGTGGCTGAAGTATTGGGGTCCCAGGAGACAGAGGTGGGGGCTTCAGGGGAACAGGGGACAGAGGCTAGAAGTACAGAGGCTGAGGTATTGGGGTCCCAGGAGGCAGAGGTGCGAGCTTCAAGGGTACAGGGGACAGAGGCTGGAAGTACAGAGGCTGAAGTATTGGGGTCCCAGGAGACAGAGGTGGGGGTTTCAGGGGAACAGGAGACAGAGGCTAGAAGTACAGAGGCTGAGGTACTGGGGTCTCAGGAGACAGAGGTGGGGGCTTCAGGGATACCAGGGACAGAGGCTGACATACTAGGGACCCAGGAGATAGGAAATAGGGTTTCAGAGGCAGTAACAGCAGAGTCTAAGATACTAGGGGTCCAGGAGGCAGAGGTAAAGGGTTTGGGGGTCCCAGGGATGGAGACTGGGACAGCAGAAACTGAGATACTGGGGACCCAGGAAGTAGCAGGTGAGGGTTCAAGGGCCCAAGGGACTGAAGCTGAGACAGCAGAGTCTAAGATACTGGGGGCCCAGGAGGCAGAGGGAGGAGGTCCCGAGGTCCCAAGGACAGAAGCTGTCATGGTAGATGATGAAAGACTGAGGACTCGGGAGACAAGAATTTCAGAGGCTGAGGAGGCTGAAGCTGAGGTTTTGGGGCTCCAGGAGGCACAGTCTGGGGTTTGGGGGACTCTAGAAACCAAACATGAGGCTTTCATAGCTGCAGTCACTAGACATGAAGTTCTAGGGTCCCAGGAAGCAGAGGCAGAGACTGGGGGGGTCCAGGAGACAGAAGATAAAGCTTGGAGGGTCCCAGAGCCAGAGGCTGGGGTACTGGAGCTCTCAGAAGCCAAATCCGGGCCCTTAGGGACCCAGGAAGCAGACACCCAAGTTTTAGGGGCCTCAGAGAACATATCTGGAATTTTTGAGGACCAGGAAGCAGAGGCTCAGATCTTGGGGCCCGAGAAGGGACAAGAAGCTGAGAGAAGCCCCCCAGAGGCCAGCCTGGTTGAAGGGCAGGTGGCCAATGGGGCAGGGGCTGGGGTGCCCAAGCCCTTGGGCGCCTCCTGCTCAGAGGAGCCTGAAGAGGACAGGAGGCTGCGGGGCAGCCAGGTAGGGATGGGGGCCGCCGAGGGCCCCGTATGCTGCTTCCCACTAACCTGAGGCTGAGCAAACAGCGGCTGTGCATTGACCCACTTGGTCACCTGGGATGGGGTGGGCCGGGGGGCTCAGCAAGGAGCCCCCTCCCCCTTCCCTCAGGATGCTGGGGCTCTCCCCCCTCCCCGCCTTCTCTGGGCCAGATGCAGCTGGAGATCCCTATGCTAGTTTTCTGGGCTGGCCCTGATGTATGGCTGCTGGTGACTTCTGATCTTGCGTGGGGGCCACGGATCTTTATGGTGACCTCGGCAGATAACGCCCAGGCCCCAGGGCTGTAGCCAGTAGTCTCTGATGACCCCTGCAAACCCAGAGCTGGGGCTGCTGATGCCAGGCCTGAGCTTCCCCAGAGGGCAGAGGGCACATGTCTGACAGACACATTCCCTGAGCCCACCTCTGTGTCCCCAGGCACCACCTGCCCTGGTCAGTTCCAGCCAGTCCCTGCTGGAGTGGTGCCAGGAAGTCACCGCTGGCTACCGTGGCATCCGCATCACCAACTTCACCACATCCTGGCGCAACGGTTTGGCCTTCTGCGCGATCCTGCACCGATTCCACCCGGACAAGATGTGAGCTGTGTGGGGTGGGGTGGGGTGGGGGTGGGAGTGAAGGGGGGAGCTTGCAGAATGGGCAGCGGGGATCCAGCCAGCAGGGCCCTTGACCCTGACTGGCCCTTTATCTGCAGCGACTATTCCTCTCTGGACGCCCTCAACATCAAAGAGAACAATAAACAGGTGAGATGGGGAGGGAGCCAGGACGGGTCAGAGATTTGGGGTCTGCTGGTCCTGTAGGAGAGGGTTCTGCAGGCCGCGGGGTCCAGCCGTGGGTTTTGGAAGGTTTGCCACTTTTACCCTTTGGGATGTTGGGTTGTTCCTTGTCCTTAGCTTTTTGTTTTTCGGCGTTTATTCTGTTTGAAAGCACATTTTCCATAGACGGTTTTTCCAAAAGCACCCATTGGTCACCGAGTGGACCATGCGCAGTTGCTAGGGAACGCGAGGGCGGGCCTGTTGGTGGCATCCCCTAACCCGAGGGTGTAGTCGTCGCTAGGCAAACGCAGGCGTGGGAGCCGCTGGGACCCTCTTCAGCAGAGATAGGCCTGCGGCCCCGCTGACCCCTCACGCGCCCTTCCTAGGCCTTCGATGGCTTCGCGGCCCTGGGCGTGTCGCGGCTGCTGGAGCCGGCGGACATGGTGCTTCTGTCGGTGCCTGACAAACTCATCGTCATGACCTACCTGTGTCAGATCCGCGCCTTCTGCACCGGGCAGGAGCTGCAGCTGGT